CCTGGCGCGCGCCGCGACGGCCGCTGTCGGAGCCACCGCGGAGCGGGCGGCCGTCTCCCCGCGGGCACGGAGGAGGCTGTGCGAGGCGCGGAGGCCGGGGTATTTCACGGGCCGGGAGGAGGCGGGCGGGGGCGGGGCCGGGAAAACCACTTTCATAAGCGTGAGTCAGCAGGGGCCCCTGGATGAATGAACTTGCACTAGACCCAGGGCCGGCCTTAAAGGGGCCCCGCCGCGGGGGGGGGGAGGGGGGCGCCTCGGTCAGTAAACAGAGGACCCAAGGGCCCCCGACCCAGCCAACCCGGCCTTTTCTCCTAGGGAGGTGGCCCTTGAAGTGGCGAAAGACACCCTGGTTGCACTTGGTGTCGCCCCCTTCTCCACTCCTACTCGTCCCACCCAGTATAAAGCCCTCGGGCATCAGCCTGCCCAGGGTGAGAATCTGGCTCTGCCACTTCCTGGGCAAGCTGCCTCAGTTTTCTCATCTGAAAAATGGGGCCAACAAACAGGCCGTCCCTCCCGGGGTGGGTGTGGTGGTTAGGTGTTGCCATTCTTGGCTCCCACGCCTGAAACATGAAGCCGGCTCCCCGGTTCCTGTCTTCCTTTCTCGGTTATTTCTTCTCTGCACACCTCACATTTTGCTGATCCTTACTTATTATTTCATTGTCTCTCTCCCCAGACCAGGATGTGGGTTCTGCGTGGGCAGGGAAGTGTTTCCGTGTCTGCTTTACCACGAATCTAGAATGGTGCTCAGCACATAGTAGGTGCTCAGGAAGGAAGGGGTAGAGTTGGAACGGTATTTAGCCCTAGGGGCTCAGTGCACATCAGCTGTGATTTCCATCACTGATGTGATCGTTAACCTCGTCATCCTTTCCTGTCTGGGGACTTCCCTGTAGTTGGGGGCCTGTGGGAGGCAAGGAAGGCACTTTACCTTGCACGCAAGGCTTAAGGGGGTACCCAAAACACTCGGTGATGAAGACAATCATGTTTTAGTGCAAAATTTTTTTGAAAATCCGAATTAGGGGCCTGGTTGGTTCAGTCTGGGGAGCGTGTGAGTCTTGATCTTGGGGTTGTGAGTTCGAGCCCTGTGTTGGGTGTAGAGATTACTTAGAAATAAATAAATAAGCTTTTCTAAAAAGTCAAAAGTAATGCAAAAAGTGGAGATTAAATATTAAAATATTAAATTTTCAGAACCAAACAGGATCTGTAACAGTGCCGTGTTGAGCCATATTGGAGCCTGATGCATGAGGAAAACTCAGAATACTGATGCTGTCTTTATTTAAAACTTTGCTCTTTTCTTCATCCCGGATTTTTGGCATTACTCTTGATTTTTAAAAATATCACAGGAACACAACACTGTGGGTCTTGATTATGGAATGCTTCGGTGCCCCTTATAGTTTGTGTGGTCTCTCTCCTGGGTCTGGTGGCCACGGGGGATGGGGCTGAAATGTGCACAGCACAAAATATGCACAGGGAAGTGGGAGGGGGGACGAGACGGGGAGGGCAGGGGCTCTTTTAGCCACAGGCTTTGGCATCCCACCAAGGAAAGATACCTCTGAGGATGCAGAGTTCTACTGGGACCAGCAGAGAGAGAGAGACAGACAGAGACAGAGTGAGGGGAGAGCTGAGGTGGGCAGGGGGAGAGAGGTGAGCTGGCTGGCGCTGGGAAGGGCTGGAGGCTGGGGGTGGGGGAACCGAGGGATTGGGGGGCAGCATAGAGAGTAGGGCTTAGAAGGGAGACCCTGGGCTTAGGGAGGAGATTAGGGGACACGAGCCCGGGAAGGGGGCTGCACCAGGCCAGGTGTGAGGGAGCACCTCCCTCCTGCCTCCGCTCTCGTCCTCGGGGACACGTGTGACACAGTGCATGGACTATGGCAGGGGCAGCGGGAAGCCCACTGCTCTGGGCCCCGGCTCCCCAGCTCGTTCTAGCCCCTTGCAGACATGCTGTGTGACCTCGGCTGTGGCCCACCTCTCTGGGCCTCTGTTCCAGCATTCCCGGACACTCGGAATGTGCACCCCCACACGCCAGGAGCCCAGGGACAGCCCCAGCCGGGGGAGGGCAGCTCCCCTCTGACGTACCTCTTGTGCGGGCTGCATCTCTCCCTGGCAGCCGCCTGGCTGTGTCCACTTCCCCATCCCAGGGCTCTGGACTGCAACTTCCCAGCGTGTTTGGATGTGTAAACTGAGGCAGAGAGAGACAACCCCGAGTCAGAGACTCCCACCTGCAGCGTCTCAGCCCCCGTGGGACGAGGCTGAGGCTCGGGGTCCAGAGAGGAAGGCCTGGGAAGGAGGTGGGCTCCCGGGTCCCCCATCTTTGGGTCTGGCCCATCCTTCCTCCCGACCTGCCCCGCTGCCCCCGCTGGCTCTGACTCCTTTTCCGGATTTGGAAAATTTGCTGATACAGAGAATTGTGGGTGAGATGTGGACTTTTTTCCCTGTCGCCTGATTTTCTGCCAGGAGATTGTGGGAAATAGAATGTGTTGAGTTGCTTCCCAAAAGTTCAACCAAGACAAAGACAGATAATGTCACGGGCAACAAAGGGATGACGGTTAGGCGGGGCCATGGGGAGGGAAGGAGCAAGGCAAGTTGTCTTGGGGTGACTGGCTCTCTCGGACTCTCCTGGGGGCCCTGATCCCTCCACACCTGCCTGTCCTCTTCTCCACTCCCAGTTCAGGTGGCCGGTAAGCCTCTGGATCCAGAGGTGCCGAAACTAGGGTTGCAAGATGTAGCAAATAGCATTACAGGCACACAGGCCACTGAGTTTCAGATAAGAAAGAGGTTTGAGTGTAAATATGTCCCACGCAACATTTAGGATACACTTATACTAAAAAAAAAAAATTCTTTTTTCATTGTTTATCTGAAATTCAGTTACCTGAGCGGCCTGTATTTGGCAAACCCAGCGGTAAGTGTAAAATACACTAAATTTTGAACAGTTAGTATAAAAAAGGGAAGGTAAAACGTCTCATTAATAATGTTTATGTGGATTACGTGACAAAGTGAAAATATCTTGGACATCTTGGGTTAAATAAGGGGTATTATTAAAATTAATTTCACCTTTTTTTTTTTTTTTTTTACGTATTTAATGTGGCGACTGGAAAATTTACACATGGGGCTTTCATTAGCCTTCTCCTGGACGTGGGCACCAGCTGCTCCTGCCAACTGTGACATCCCTGGATTCAGCAGTGGAAGTCCCTGGGAAGTCTCTGGTTGGGCATCTGGAGCATTCACTGCAAACAGCTGGGCAGTGTGCCCTGGGAGGGGTGTTGCCCTTCTGAGCCTCAGTTTCCCCATCAGGGCACCGGACTTGCAAGGTGGTGCCGCTGAGGGAGGGGCCCAGCACTAAGGAGGAGCTCAGACACAGCAGCCCCCAGCCCACCCCCGGCCTCCCCCAAGCTCCCTGCACGTGCTTGGGAGCTGGGGAACCAGTGGAAGGGAGGCTAGGGTAGCCTCAGATGAAAGCATCCCCTGTGCCCCCATATCAAAACTACCATTTCTTGCTCCCTACAAAATCCTAGGACTATTCCCAGGGGCTGCTCCTGGCCCCCTCCTCCTCCCTTCTCCCTGGTGGCCATTCCCATAGCATTGCCACTTGCTGGGCACCTCCAGGCTGTAGACGGAATATTCTTCACACACAGCTGAAGCTCAGAGAGGCCAGTCTTGAGCCTGAGGTCACACAGCGTGAGCGACAGAACTGGGGCTTGAACTCAGGGCTGGGACTGCCGAGTCTGGACACTTCCTGGGAAAAGGCAGACAGTGAACTAGCGAAGGAACAAAGTCTCCTTCCTGCCTGGAGCAAAAAGGCATGCACGGCCTCGAGAACTCTCCAGAAAGGCCTACCTACCACCATGGTCGCCCTTGGTCTGAGGTGCCCACACTGAAAAGGCGTTTTGGGGATTTGGTGCGTTTGGTCCAGTGAGGAAAGGCTGCACGGGGCTACTGTTCTCCCATTCTACAGGTGAGGAAGCTGAGGCCCTGGTAAACATGGCCCCAAATCACGGCCAGCAGTACAGTGGGACTGTGACCAGGTGCCCTGGCGCGACGAGACCAGGCCCTTCCGGCACATGACACCAGAGCTAATATTTGCCTTCACCATTTACAAAACTTTGTCACCACCTTATCTCCTCGACTCTCCACAACCAGGGGGCAGGCAAATATTTTCAATAACATGTTGAGTTGACAGATGAAGAAACCGGGGGGGGGGGGACTTGCCCAAGGCCACTCTTCCCCATGAAGTGGTGGAGGGGACTGAGATTTAAGTGTGTCTGGTGGCAGACGGCCCCAGGACAGGGGTGTGAGCTGCCAGGGCCTGGCCCAGCCTGGGTTCATGACCCAGGGAGTTGCCATAGAGCCCTGTGGGAAATGAGGTCAAAGCTGGAGGAGGCCTGCCCCCCCCCCCCCCGCCCCACAGAGAGACCAGGGAGGTCAGGAGCCACAAGCAGAGCGTGGGGTCGGCCCCCAGAGGAGAGTCTGCACAGAGGGCAAGTCGGGGGGGGGGGCTCAGCCCCATCCTGCAGCCACACTGTCTGCTTCCTGATTCACTCCTCCTCTCCTCAAAAACTAGGGGGACAGTTATGGCAGGAGAGTGAACATGCCTGCCCTACAGTCAGGGTGGATGGGGGCCCGGCCCAGGAGTCAGGCCAACAGGGACTCTGCCCCATCACCTTCAGCTGTGGGACTTAGGGCAAGTGCCTTAACCCCTCTGAGCTTCCCCTGCCTTGTGTGTGCGCGCGGCAGATGGCCGAGAGCCTTCTCAGCCCCGCCGCTCATGGCAATCGCCTGGTGAGAATTTAAAGCTACCCTAACACCGAGGCCCCCGTCCCAGAGATTCTGACCTGCTGGGCTGGAGTGCGGCTGGCCCCGGGGAGTTTTACCAGCAATTTGCTTGTGCAGCGGGGCTGGAAGCCTCTGTCTTTGCGGCTGTTGGGAGATGAGCTGAATCAACACAGACGGAAACCACCTGGCCCGTGGAGGGCCCAGCACGCGAGTGCCCCTCCCAGCCCGCGGCCTGACCTTTGTAAGCCACATTCCTTGTGCAGTTCTGCAAGAGTCATGAGGTCTACAAGGGAAACACATCTTCAGAGGAGCCGGACCACCAGGACGGCAGGGACTGGCTGGTGACCCCAGTGGGGGTCTCGCCGGAGCCCCAAAGCACCACCGACTCAACCACTGGACGAACCCCGATGTCACCTTGCTCATTTACCGTGACTCGGTTTCCCCAACTCAGTTCTATGCCACTGACTTTTGACCTCAGTGGAGGACTTGACATTCGCCCCCTTGGCACATCGTGTCATGCATCTGCACCACCATCCCGTGAGCCAGTCCAGTGCCGGGGCAACCCCCACGTGGGAAACAGCTCCGCTAAACTGGGAGACCCCCCTCTCCCCCCGACGGCGCTGATATTACCAGCAGAGGCTGCGAGTGACCTCCGTGGCCGCTGCTGACCGCGGGTCAGCGAGTGGTGGCGAAGGCCCAGACAGAAATACTCTGCAGCCTTTGGAAAGAGCAGGTCGGGAGCCAGAGGCGACGTGGGAGGAAGCTCGGGATGACAGAAGCAGGAGGGGCAGCCTGGAAACTGGGGTGATGCCCACCCGCTGCAGGGGCCCGGGGGCTGGAACCGATTGGGACTGGGCAAAGAGAGGAAGCGAGGCCAATGCTCGAGGCCAGGGAGTCTCAGATGGCTTTCATTTCCATTGCCTTCGTGTCATAAACAGCAGTAATCAGCCTGAGTAAAAACTGAGACAAGGACTTTCTGTGTTTTGTTCAGGTGTCTAGTGCAGGGCCTGGGACACAGTGCTAGCTCAGATAATACTGGCTAAACAAATTAATGCATCTCGTGGCTTTCAGACTTTCCTGATGGACTCCTAAAACATTTCTGAGCATGAATAAAGCCCTCTTTATATCCTATGCTTCCTATCATATGGGAGGATTGGCATGCCTTGATATATTTAAATCTTAGACCAACTGTGAATTGGCCAAGGTTGAAGACAGAGCCCTGTGGCACACCAGTAGAGACCCTTCCTCCAGTAGACATGGTTCTGATTGGCGAGGGGGGTGAGTGAATAGTGTGGAGTCAGAGACCCTGGGTCGTACATCAGCTCTGGAGCTTAGAAGCTATGTGTCTTTGGGTGGGTTACTTCACTTCTCTGAGCCTCAGTCTCCTTATCCATATAATACCTGGCCCCCCCAGGTAGCTCTTGGCCTGGCTTGCTGTGGGTTCTCAGGGGGTGGTGGCCACCCCTCACCTCTGTGTACCCCCATTCGGACATTCTCATTCCGGGTGGCCATTCACGTGGCTCCGGGCCTGTGCGTTTTCCAGCCACCCAGCCCACGCCTCATCGCCCCCTGAAACTTCCTTGAGGGCAGGGGTTCTGAGACTGCGGTCCCCAGAGCAGCACTAGCAGCACCTGGGAACTTAGTAGAAACGCAGGGGCTCAGACCCCACCCAGGCCCCACGAGATCAGGGAACCCGCAGCCTGCATTCTCAAGAGGCTTCCTGGTGATTCCCTCGGGTTTTTGAATGGCTGAGGAAAAGGACGAGAAATTCCATCTGTGCCTACAGATGGAGCCAGGCCCAAGACAGCCATGTGACTCCACTGCTCTTGGGGAACCCACGCTCAGCCCTTGGGGTGCCGCTCCTCTCTCCCCACGGGCTCGGAATCCCTAAGTAACCTGCGGCCTGGGGCTGGAGCTTTAGCGTGCGCCTCATCCTTCAGAAAACTGGGGCCCCCCATGCTTGTCCCTGCCTCTGAGGGTCCTGCTGGGGGACTGGGAGCCCCCGCCCCCTCGGCACCCCGAGAGGTGGGCTTGCAGCATCAGGAAGCCCTGCAGACTCTGGGTTGGCCAGCCCCTCCGCCAGGCTTCCAGGCCCTTCTGGCAGGGGTGTGGCCCATCCGAGCCCCAGTGTATTGTCCGGGACCCAGGGGCCAGAAGCTGCCGCGGCTGCCGGGCTGTTTTCTCCCTGGCAGCTATGGCTGTTGCCCCTTGGTCCCTGGGGAGTGGGGGCATCACTGTCTTTGTTTACTTTGGCTCACACGCTGCTAAAAAATGTCATGTTTGCCACTGTTATCAGGCTTTACCAACCCTCGGGGCCTTGCCTTCTCGGGCAGGTGGGGTGAGGGCCTCAGTGATTTAACTTAGTGTCAGGTGACTAGACCTTTCCCAGGGACTGGACAGGAGGAGAGA